AGCATATAATATATTTGGCTACAACGCCATCTACGAGATACTAGCATTTTCAAGGTAGATTTCTAATAAGTGTGGAGAGGAGAAATATAGCTTCGCTATCTCATTTCATCTCGGATGATTCGTTGAACGCCGGAATATAGTATCAGGTTGGCTATATTCACATTGATCAATACCTAGTCAGTTCTATCCCACTTCTGATTCTGCACGATGGTTTCTCGTAATTTTCAAAACGGTTGTTACTAATCACCTGGCTCACCCTGTATCTCCCATAACAAACTTATTTATCCTTGCCCAATCCCAAAATGGAATGTTCCATTAAGGACGAATTAGGTTGGTGCGCGTAATTCCTAATTTGATGCAAGCTGATCAGCTGATTCGGGAACCCGTTCGAAGGCTGCGACTTCGGTATGTCGAGACTGTTCTGTTTTTGGAAACTCAACGCGTCGTATATATACGGCCTATTGGGCGCCAGCTGGTGATGGTTTAGGTTAAGATGTCCAGACATACTGTTGATCGGAGTGAATGCAGAATTAGCGTTCGATTTCGAGATTGAGGTGTCGTAGGAGTTGCCTAGATTGGCGTTAGGCGTCCCTGGCGGAGCGGGCGGGTTCTGACCGAGTTGTTGCCGGATGATCACGAGGTCCTCGTTTTGTTCCAGGATCTGCCGAGGGAGGTCGTTAGGGTACTCGTGCATGTTCTCCGCGCTGTCCGGACTCACCTTGGGCCAATAGTGGTGCTCTAGGCCTCGATGGTTCAGACCTGCGGACAAATACGCTGGGTAGAGACTAGTTTTCGTTTTGATAGTTATTTACAGTAATGGATAAAAGTATATAGACAAATTAATATTCTTTTTTAACTTGTTTTATTAATACACCAACCTGTATAAATAACACTGGACAACAAATTTTAGTTTTTTAATTGTATCTTGTGGGAAAAGTGCACTTCTTTGTTAATTTTGGGGCGCTCAATCCAAAAATGACAATGAAATAAAAAAATTACTTGCGGTTTAGAAAAAAACTTTTTATTTTTAAGGATATATTAAAAAAAGTAACAAGTTTCATATACTTATAAGAATCACTATATGCGCTGTCTTTTTGCTGTTCTTTTATGGATCGTTTCTGGAGCATCTCTACCAAGAGTCCAACAGTAGTCTGCAAGCATGGAAGGATTCCACTTTCCCTGGTACCTTTTTTCCATTGTTGAAATATCCTGATGAAAACGTTCGCCGTGTTCATCACTTACGCCTCCGCAATTGTCAGGAAAAAAGTCCAGGTGTGAGTGTAGGAAATGTATCTTAAGAGACATATTACAGCCCATCTTTTGATACGATGACAGCATATTTTTGACAAGGGTTTTATAGTTTTCAGCTTTTCTATTTCCCAAGAAATTAGTGACCACCAGACGGAAATCATTCCAAGCAGTTTTTTCAATACCTGTTGAAGTGTTTTCAAACTGTGTATCTTTCAAAATATTTCGAATTTGTGGCCCAACAAAAATACCGTCTTTAACCTTTGCCTCACTTAGTCTTGGAAATTTCTGACGCAGGTATTGAAAAGCTGACCCATCTCTATCTAATGCCTTGACAAAGTTTTTCATTAGGCCCAACTTGATATGCAGTGGTGGCAATAAAATTTTTTTCGAATCTACTAATGGCATATGCTGTACATTTTTTTGACCTGGCTCTAGGAATTGACGAACAGGCCAGTTTTGTCTGGTGTAATGAAGTGCCTTTGCCCGACTGTCCCATTCACACAAAAAACAGCAAAACTTTGTGTAGCCTAGCTGCAGCCCAAGTAAAAGTGCAACAACTTTCAAATCGCCACAAATATGCCATTGGTGCTCATCGTATTTTATGCATGTCAATAGGTACTTCATATTGTCATATGATTCTTTCATGTGAACTGCATACCCTACAGGAAGAGATGGTAAAATATTTCCCATATGCAATAACACTGCCTTTAAACTCAATGTTGAACTATCTATAAACAATCTCCATTCTTCTAGGTTATAGTTTATATTTAAAGCCGCCAGTAAGCCGTTAATGTTACTGCAGAAAACCAAGTTACTCTCCATATTGAAAAATGGTTCTAACTCTTTGTGGCGTTTACCGAAACATCGTCTTCTAACAAGTTCCACTGCTGCAGTCTTGATCCAAGTAACTCTGCGTTACATTTTGGAAGTTCTAAATCTCTTACAAGATCATTTAATTCTGACTGTGTTATTTTGTGCGGTTGGTGGCATGACGTGCTCGGTATAAAATCAGGATCTCTTGACGTTGATGGCATTTCTTCTTCCTGACGAATCACTCGATCGCCATGATCTGATTCGTTTTCTGATTCGCAAGTGTAGGATTCTGGGGGTTTTGGAATAGGATTTTCGTCACTGTGAGGCACAGGTCTCATCGCAGAGGGTATGTTTGGGTAGTTAATAACCGATTTTTTTTTCTTGGACATACCTGTGGCTTGTCCAACACAAGGTACCATGCAAAAGTAACAATCATTAATATGATTTGTAGGCTCTCTCTAAACCATTGGGACAGCAAAGCGCATAGACCGTTTTTTGCCATTTAACCAGCTCCTCAGACTTGAAGCACATGTATTACAGCAGATGTGGGGTGCCCACTGTTTGTCTTGATCACGTAGTTTACAACCGAAATAAAGCTGATATGCCTTTGTTATTAGTGGAGTAATAGACCGTCTCTGAGACGCAATAGTCACATCACCACAAACGTAACAAAACTGATCTGGATTGTTTACACACTTTCGAGACATCTTGCATGAACGCTGTCAGCCAACTGAGGAAAAAATGACTAATATAATACAATATAATGTAGACGTATGTATAACGTAACACAATCATGCCGATTACATCATCTTTCCTTGCCGAATATAAAAATGTAGCACGTGCATTCTTGTGAATTACAGTATATTAACACTGTCACAGCAGGAACACATATAATTACCGTATCTCTAAAACTTGAACTAATATTGAAAAAATAAGTTTCATTCCGGTTTTAGCACATTAAAAATAGTAATATTTTGTTGATCTTGAGCTTGTTATTCAAGAATGTATTTTTATTATATCACAATGGATTTATTGTGTCAGCTTGATACAAACCTATAAAACAAGGCATCAATGATATTTTATGTGTCTACTACAAACTATTAAAAAATTCATTTTAGGCTTTGCTCCGAGATCATTACATCACATAAAACTTGAGTAAAAGTGCCAGCAACATTTTCGTTTTTTGAAAACTATTTTATGACTGACACATATCTCCCGCATCACCAGCTACTCAAGGAAATATCTACCTACGGACATTTTTACCCGTAATGAGCCTGGAGTATATTATTTTCTAACAGTTGAAATGTGAGAGCTACGAGCTTGTCCGTAAAATAAGTTCCACGGGCTGCCGCTGGCGGTAGGATCGTTTCTATGCACAGCCAGGCAACAGAGGCAGATTGTTTGGTTCCCCCACTCCAATCCCTGACCAAGCCAGCGTCGCTGCGACGTTTAGTCTTGGCTCAGCAGCCGTCAGCGATGGAGCTTTCTCTTGCGTCTCCCGCCAGCTGCGAGTTGCGGTCTGTTATTCGTTTCCTGGCGGCTAAGAAGAAATCGGCGAAGGAAATTCACGAAGAACTTTGTCAAGTGTATAGAGAAGACTGTATGAGCTGCGGGATGGTGCGCAGATGGGTCAGGGACTTTAAAAATGGCCGAACAGACGTCCACGACGAAGCCCGTGCAGGGCGGCCATCGGTTTCCGACGAAACAATTGCCAAAGTCGATGCTTGAAGATCGACGGATTACAGTTCGGGAGCTGTGCACAAAGATTCCGGAGGTCAGCAAAACCACAATTGACAAGATTTTGACTGAACATTTAGGCTATTCAAAGGTCTGCGCAAGATGGGTACCAAGAATGCTCACTGCAGACCACCGGCGGCAACGGGTTGAAGCGGCCCAAGAATTTCTCGCTTTTCACGGAACAACCGAAGAGGAATTTCGGGACTCTATTGTTACTGGTGACGAGACCTGGGTACACTACACCACACCGGAAACAAAGGAGCAATCGAAGCAGTGGAAGCACTCTTCTTCACCAAGAGCAAAGAAGTTCAAACAAATCCTGTCTGCCGGGAAAATCATGGCTAGCGTTTTTTGGGATCGAAAGGGCGTATTGTTGTGCGAGTTTATGCCTCGCGGGACAACAATCAATGCTGACCGGTACTGTGAGACCTTGAAAAAACTTAGACGTGCCATTCAGAACAAGAGAAGAGGAATGCTGACGAAAGGAGTGCGTTTTCACCATGACAATGCCCGACCGCACACCGCCAATCGAACCACAGCCCTCATCGAAAGATTTGGATGGAAAATGGTGTCTCACCCACCCTACAGCCCAGACTTAGCACCAAGTGACTTCCATCTCTTCCCTGAGTTGAAGAAAAACCTTGGCGGAACCCAATTCCAGACAGATGAAGAGGTGCAAAACGCAGTTGTTAGTTTTCTACACGGACAGGCGGCAGAGTTCTATGACTCTGGTTTGAAGAAGTGGGTGCCTCGAATGCAGAGATGCATAGAACGCAACGGCGATTATGTGGAAAAATAAAAGAAAGACTGAACTTTCCAAAAATGTATTTTCCTTGCAATTAAACCAATTTTTTGATATGAAAAAAATTTGTGGAACTTATTTTACGGACACGCCGTATAAGCAATCAGTAAATCGAAAGAACACTTAAAGTGGGTATTCGTGTAATAATCATTTTCTATATTAATATAATGTGGAAGGCGGGCAGACACACATTTATCTGTAGTCTAAGAAGTTTAACGAGGTGACGTAACACTTTGCAAATCTTGTATTATTTATCATGTTAAACCTTGAACTTAACCAACCAACAGGTGTTTAATTATGAAGGCTATAACTTTTTAATCTACATGCTTGAATGTGTTTCTTTGTATAAACTGTGTTCTAATGCCGCGCCAGATATTTTGACTGAACATTAAGAGAGGCGATCAAACGAGTTGTGCACTGTAAATTTATTACCTACATGCTTGAATGTGTCTTTATACGGGGTGTCCCAGAGAAGGATAAATATTTCGAAATTGAATTAAAAAATACTACACGTTTTTATTAAAAATGAAGCGGCAGATGTGATGATTACGGATTTTGAATTTTACAGTTTAAGTGAGATATTCTATAGCCATCACGATCAGCGGCGAAGATGTTTTACCATGGATGTACCTCAAAAGGAGATAATGAGTATCTGGAGTCGAAGAATATCGCTAATTCCAAAAAAATATACGTGCGAAACCTCTCAAAAATGTTTTACTTTCAAAAAACCGACCGCCTACTGGCGGGGAAGTATTGTAATATCTCGAAAATTTTCGAAAATGAGATATATAGGTTTTTTGATATTTTATGACATATAACTGGCGATTTTTTAAGAGGTATAGGATTTGATTTAACAAAAAAACACAAAAAATTTGAAAAAACGATTAAATCTTTATTTGAGTCGGTAGAACGGTCGATATAATTTTAACGTTTAAAGAGTATTTCATGTAAATGTTGGCCGCGGCTCCGCTTTAGATGGCCCATGCGCAACGTCCAATTTTGGCACACTCTCTCCAACATATCGGCCGATATCTCACGAATAAATGCTTCCATATTGGCTTACAGTGCGTCAATCGTTGCTGGTTTATCCCTGTAGACATTAGCCTTAACATGGCCCCACAAGAAATAGTCCAACGGCGTTAAATCACACGATCTAGGCGGCCAATTGACGGGCCCCAAACGTGAGATAAACTGTTCACCGAACTCGCCTCTCAATAGGGCCATTGTTTCGTGTGCGATTGGCATGTGGCACCGTCTTGTTGAAACCACATGTCAGCCAAGTCTAGCTCTTCCATTTCGGGCAAAAAAAGTTTGTTATCATCGCACGGTAGCGCTCGCCATTCACAGCACTGCCCGATGATGCCACCGGCCCATAATCCACACCAAACAGTGACTTTTTCGGGTTGCATTGGTAGCTCTTGCAATGCTTCTGGCTGGTCTTCACTCCAGATGCGGCAATTTTGCTTGTTAACGTACCCATTCAACCAGAAATGAGCTTCGTCGCTGAACACAATTTTTCGATAAAAATGTGGATCTTCCTCCAACTTTGCCAGCGCCCATTCACCAAATGGGAAACGTTGTGGGAGGTAGTGTCGCTTCAATTCTTGCACCAGCTGTATCTTATAAGGTTTTACACCCAAATCCTGTCGCAAAATTGTCCACGTGGAGTAACAGAGGCCCAATTGCTGCGAACGGCGGCGAATCGACATTTCACGGTCATCACTAACACTGGCGGATACAGCCGCAATATTTTCTTCAGTCCTCACTCTATGTCTGCGTGTTGGTGGTTTAATGTCCAATAATGTAAACTGAGTTCGAAATTTAGTCACAAGCTTCCCAATAGCTCCCTCAGTAGGCCGACCAAATTGCCCATAAATTGGAAGCAGTACTCGATGCACTCTCTTAACCGAGCATGAATTTTGATAGTAAAATTCAATAATTTGCAAGCGTTGTTCGTTCGTAAGTCGATTCATGGTTAAATTATAAACCAAACTGAACAAGTTTGACAATGACACAAGACACGATTCACGCGTCATCTGTCAAAAACAGTGTTGCCAAAAAGATACTAGCAAAAAAATCACCCATTACATCACAGAAAACCATGTCACTAATTCCCGTCGGTCTGTCCGATAATCTTATAACCGCCTATATCTTGAGAAGTACCGCTAGAATTTCGATGAACATTTCATACAATGTTACTACTATGCCAAGGACTCAAAATCTTTGTAGTTTTTGGAAATCGGTCCAGTGGCGGCAGAAAAAAAGGCCTAAAACGAAAAAAGTGAAAATCGATCAAACTTCGTCTTTTGACGTTTCATAGCAGCCTGACCATTCTTGAAATAATGTTAGAGGTAAAAAAAACTTGGTAGTGATTTCTATGCCCTGACCGCGCTACCACGGTGCCACGTCCCGAGTTAGGTGTCGGGGAGGGGCGACGTTTCCAGATGCACTACCGGTAGAGTGCTTATATGGACTAATTGTATGGACCTGTTTGACTGACTTTTTTCTCAGAAGCCTGGTTTGCGCTGAACATATTCCTTTATGTACTGATAACGGCGTTACGTGGGAAGTGCAGAGTACACCTACTTGACGCCATTATTTACCTAATTAGGAAATCCTAATCTTCTCAGACACATCCTGTATAAACTATAATCTGCTGCCGCGCGATTGATATTTTAGACGAAATCAATATGTCTTTGAGAAATTTACATTTTTTGCAAAAAACCAGTGATATAAAATTTCGCGCTAAGCATAACGACGAACAATTTTAAATATCCACCATGCGTTTGGGGAATTTCCGGATCTTTAGGTCTATATGGACTCTTCATCATATTTTCGTATTGGACCAGAATTGTGCTTGATTATTTGATCAAACAAGTAAATACCAATGAACAAGTGTTTTCACCTGATATGGCTCCGTGCGACTTTTTTCTCTTCCCAAAGCTCAAATTACCACGTCGGGAAAAGAGATTTAAGTCCATAGATGACATAGCACAATGCGACGAAAGAGCCCAGGGCCATCCCTTTGGCGACTTACCAGCGGTGTAAGGACCAGTGGGTGAAACGCTGGCACATGTGTGTTGCTTCAAATGGGTGTTATTTTGAAGGCGATATAATAAACTTGACTGAAAATTAAACCGTTTCCGTTTTATTATTGAATTCCCGGTACTTTTTGATCATAGGGTGTATCCTTTACACGACGTGTAGATCTTGAAAACACAAGCAATTTTTCTTAGTACCATATACACCAATGTCTTAAGGGAACCGAGATAAAGGGCTCTGCAACATCAAAAATATCTGAATACCGTCCTGTAGCCGCGATATCCCCGACTGGTACTAGGACACTAGCTCAACCCGACGACAGAACTGGGTCGGGGTTAGTGTGTCAGGTCAGTATGCAACCTTCAATCGACGGTTACGGTCACGCGTGTAGATGTAATCGCGTAGACGAGAATCCCTCAACAAGCACTAGAGACGTGGCTAGAGAAGTGCAAGTATCAAAAACTAAAGTGTGGCAAACGCTGCGTGAAGAGGGGCTGTATCCGTTTCACGTCCAAAGTGTACAAGCCCTTCCGGCAAGAGTGCGGTTTTGTGAGTGGTTGTTGCAGCAACATGACAATAATCCGGACTTTTTGAAGTGCATATTGGTGACAGACGAATCTACGTTCACGCGTAATGGGATGAATAACTTTCGCAACACTCATGTTTGGTCAGTAGAAAATCCGCACGCTGTCCGTCGGGCACATTTTCAACAATCATTTTCGGTGAATGTTTGGGCTGGCATGGTGAACGGTATGCTCATTGGACCATTTATTCTCCCAAATCGATTGGACGGGATGCAATACCTAGACTTTTTACGCAACATTTTGCCTTCCTTGTTAGAAGATGTGCCATTAAGTGTAATACAATCAATGTGGTTTCTGCGTCTGCTCGGTAGCGCATCAGCTGATTTCATTTTCTGTTGGAGCGGTATGATTTCGGGCAGAGACGTACTTAGCTCTTCTCGTCAACTGGAGAGTGAGTACTTTTTCCTTTATTTTTTTTTTACTTGGTCGCCCTCGTTTCACTACACATTACCTTTGTTATTTCAAGGGTAGTTGTTTCTGAAAAGGAAAACCCCAACTTTGCGGACACCCTGTATATATATAGGTATTCAATTTTAAATAAATCGCCTATCTTGAGAAACGTATGTCAGACGACTTTTGGAGAAACATTGGTTTGAATATTTGAGGTAAAATCCTTATAAAAGACTTCAATCCGTTCTAGTTACGTATTAACGAACGTCTGGGGGTATTGTGTTTCCAATGATACTCCGGCTCTAAAGTGTTTACGGTAAAATACTGAATGACTCGACTCACCTAAACCTGGTCCAATAGGCGGCCTCTTATCAGTCCGCTCAGCATGTTTCTGCATATGTTTGCTCAAGTACGTCTCCTGCGTGTAGCTCTTTCCGCAATATTGACAGATGTGAGTCTTGAGGTGTTTGCTTTCCTTGTGCTTCGGGATGTGCTCGAGCAACGAGGGTTCGTCGCTAAAGCACTTGTAGCAAGAGTTGCACTTGTACGGTTTGTCTGTCTGGTGACATCGCGAATGCGACTGCAGGTTGCTCAGCTGGGAGAACGCTTTTTGACAGCCGGGATGTCGACATCTGCGGAAAAAAGAAACAAAAAATTACGCTTTGATCGATTTATGTTGGCGAAGATTATAATACAGAGCTTTGGAAAGAAAAAAATCGCTAAAACTTATACAGGGCTTTTCACCTTGTATATGAGTAAAGTTGTACCGAAAATACTAATTTGTATAATATGTTACACACAATAGAAAAGTGTCAATATAATATGATAACTTTTAATTGCTTTTGTAACCACTGGCATATTCCTACCCGCACCGAACTTTAATATCCAATTTTACGATTGTTAGGAGTATCCCCCTCCCTTTCATCGGCTCTAAACCGAGAAATTGAATTTTATAATTAGTTTTTGAATATAATTAATGTTTTGTTTATTTCCCCCAATATCAATTTCATTCATATAATAAATAGTGTAATGATTGTTTAATAGCTGCAATTCCATATCAGCAGCCGTTTCGCAACCACATGCCGGTTCGCTCAAAGCGGATTTATAATATTAAACAAGGTATACGCCAAACAATTGATTCAAAGGTGGAATTATTGCGTCATCGCCAATTATATTTTGAACATCGAGCTAAGAAGAAAACCAACTTAATACGATATTTCAGCATTTTGTCCCTGTTGCAAAATTTGTTTTTTTCTTGATGTTGATGTACCTAGCTAATCGAAACTCCAAAGAATTTCAAATCTTCCAGTGCCATTTAATCTCCTCGATTCGGCACTGTCATTGTCAAACTCCATCTCTAGTAAAAAAACATAGGACTTTTATACAAACTTGTAGCTGCCCTTAGCCTCCTAAATCCAGCTCTGTTTCATAACCCTTATATCGTCCCCCAAGACACGAAGTGTCGTAACTGACATTTCCATAATTTTACAGGAGAGCTAAAACAAGAAAAAGGGATCTCTTTGAGAATCTGGACGTCATACAATAAAAAGTGTATCACAAAACGTTTTGAGCCTGTCATTCTCAAATCTACCAGTTTTCAAATGCAGCTAGCAAAATGGTTGTATGATGAATACGTTTTGAGAAAAAAAAATTGATGAGTCAGATACGTCATTTCGTGTTGTCAAAAATAATTCTTTAATGATGCGACGGAAGATACGACGAAAAGACCCATACATAATGATTTATACTAAGTGACATATAAATCCAAACACCCAGTTTAAATGGTTTTATTTTAATAAAAGTTGGTGAATGTATGTATCTTACTGTAAATAACAAGTGAAAAAATTTTCAGCCTTATCAGTTGGACATTCCGGTTTTTATACTGCTTTTTTTTAATTCACTAACGCTCTAAAAATGAATATTTCAGCCGCAGTAAAGAATCAACGTTGGCGGATTTTGGTTCTTGACATCCTTTTCGATCGGTTACGATGCCTAGAGTACGGAGACCTGTACGATTTCGTCAACTTAGTGAGTTTGATAGGGGCCGTATAGTGGGACTTCGGGAAGCTGGACTTTCTTTTCGGGCAATTGCAGTTAGAGAAGTGTAGACACTGTGGTTAGGTGTTGTCAGGCATGGCTTCGAGAAGGCCGTACGCAAAGAGCAAGGGGCACTGGACGCCGCTGTAGAACAACAGACCGTGAAGATCGCCGCCTAAGATTATTGGCCTTAAGGGACCGTTTCTCCACTACCAGGTCCATTGCAAATGAATGGTTTGCAGAACACGGAAGACCTGTTGGCATGCGAAGTGTTTACCGACGAATGAGAAGTTTTGGCTTGTTTTCATACTGGCCACACTGGGTCCTCCCTTTAACTCGAGAACACCGACGTAATCGCCTTGAGTGGTGCAGACAACGGTCACTCTGGTATCAGGAATGGAACAGTATTGTCGTTAGTGACGAGTCTCGAGTTTGTTTAGGCATGCACGATGGTCGTGCCAGGGTTAGAACGCGACGTGGTGAAAGGAGGAATCCGCAGTTTTTTGTTGAAAGACATCTTCATCACACTGTTGGAGTTATGGTTTGGGGTGCTATAGCTTATGGTTCTAGGTCACCTTTAATCTTCATCAGAGGTAACATGAACGCGCAGCGTTATATCCACGAAGTTCTAGAACCCCATCTTTTACCCTATCTTGACACCCTGGCAGATCCAACTTTCCAACAAGATAATGCCCGACCACATGTTGCAAGAGTCACAATAGACTTCTTTCAACATAATGATGTCACATTGTTACCATGGCCACCAAGATCTCCCGACTAATCCCCAATTGAGCACGTGTGGGATATGATGGGTAGGAGATTGCTCAATTTGCAACGTCCTTCTCAGACTCTAGAAGCACTTCGAGAGGAGTTGGTGGTTGCCTGGAATGAGATACCACAGGAGGACTTTGACCACCTTCATTAAGTACTTATACAAAATTTTATTAAAATAAAACCATCTAAACTGGGTGTTCGGATTTATATGTCACTTAGTATATAATCAAAGAAAGGGAGAGAGAAACGTTCTTGTTACTAATTTTTATTGACAGAGGTAAGGCAGTAATAAACAAAAAATATAAAAAATTCTGAAAATCTATATAAAAAAGTAAACCCAAACCTTATCATGAAGAAAGTCTTCATAAAATTTCTTTATTCCGGTAGTCTTATCACGGGATTTTTGCCATTACATAAAGCAAGGAAGTGATTATATTTCTTATTAGAAACATTTACTGATGAGGCGTATAGTGGCCTAACTGACATTTCACTATTTGCTGCGCCTCTTTTTAATCGAATGAAATCATACTCTTGTGTCGAATAGCTCGACTTGGAAAACATTTGATCTTGGTGTTACTTATTAACTTTAGCTTCCATGATGTCTGCCCAGCTAGTCGTTCTTCCTGAAGCTGTAGTACGTATTGATAAAATCCATGAAGTCTCTAAAAGTTAGGGGACATACTTTATACGGATGTTTCCGTCTTGCCAAATTGATAATCGGTAATGGCTGAGTCAGCTCAAAGATATCCCCTGCTTTTAAAATTGCATGAGAAATGCTGCTATGTGCAGAATCCCCTTCATTTTGTCCATGGTTTGTAACAGAGAGTCTTAAAGCTATCTCTATCACCGATGGAAGGGTACTCAAAACATATAGGAGCATTGCGGCAACTATAGTGTTTTTACTCTGGCTATAGCACCCACCAGAAAATAAAACAACTTTTGTTTTATCCTGCCTGGAATATTCCTCTAAAATTTTAAAAAGGCAGGTCGCTATCTCCGAGGGTCCCCTCTTACCTGCTGCTTCATGCCACACAAAGCAATAACAATCTTTACTAGCTAAATCATATAAAGTGAAGTTCATCGGTACAGCATCGCGGTAGAAGGATTAGGAGACCAGAAGATCACGATGTCGTATCTGCAAATAAACTTAGATACGACAGTTCGTGACTTTCTTTGAATGCGCTAAGGCAGATACGTTCAAATCAAATATTAAAATTACTCAACGTTGGTTGAAAATTCAGATACGACACTTTGTGAGAAGGAAGTGGCGACTTTATAATGCTCATACTCGGCCTAACTCAAATTTGCAACAAATGTCAGATACGACGTTTTGGGGGACGATATGTTACATCTTGTTCATAAAATACCACCTTGCCAAATTTCATGATTACAGGTTAAATATTTTTCAATAAAGGTAACTTAAAAAAATGTCTTTTAAATCGCTAAATTGCTACCAGTTGTTCACCTAGGAGTTATATACGTATTTTCAATGCATAAAAATCAAATAGCTTGCCAACCGAGTGACTTTTCGCTTTTAATGTACACACATCAGCTGTTTTACAGTTAACAAGAACTGTATAATAAGTATAATTAAAAATTTAAAATGTATACTTGCAGCACGATAATTAATATTCACAAATTGATACGTGCTATAATTATAATTGAATACATGAAACATGTTCCCCTTGCTTTTGATCTGAATTATGCATCGACAGTCGGAGCGCTAACATTTTTATTGTCAAGGTCAAACCGACAATAATCCAGAGCACCGGAGTGTGAAAAACTTTCGTCTTTGTTGTTACGATTATTTGACAAATGGGATGCCACCCAATGGAATTGTTTGGAAAAATGGCATCAAACAGCTATCATACTAAACACTCCAAAATACGGCAAACTTATTCTGTATTCTGTACGAGAGGTAGCAAATTATGAAAACGACATCGTGAAAAATAGTTCATTACATACCTAGGTGGAGAAGTGTTGTTTTATATGGTGAGGAGCACAAAGCCGAATGATAAGGCAATAATGAAGTATGAGAAGAATTTTTTCACTACTAACTATGACAGATTAAAATATTCAATTTGATTAGACTTTAAAATATAACATATCTGAGAATTTTTTGAATGCCGCTACATCACAGTAAAGTCCAATAAAGACAGAAGATGCTACGTACGTATTTCGAATTTATCAAGTAGCATAGGACCAGGCTGTCGAAATAATGCAATAAACAGCAACAATTTCAGATATAACTGTGATTCTGCAATCGCTCGTGCCAAACAAAAATTGTTAGCAATAATAAAAAATGGATAAGGATTTAATAGCACATCTATGTACAACAAGTACAAGCATTTCTAGATGAAAGCACACATACATTCTTTCTAGGTCTTGGCTATTTTTTAGGTTACAAGTGAAAAAAATATTCTATTTTATTTTGTAACTAACAATTAGGTGTATAGTTAATTACAACTTGTAACTGTTAGGCAACGCAACTTTGACTATACGTGAAAATTAACTTGCTATACCAAAAAAAGCTTTTCCCCCTCATCCCACACTATGCTCACTGGTTCAATGCGCTGTTGCCACATACTCCATTGTTCCCAATATAGGGAAATTGACTAGATATGGACTTACTTGTAAGGTTTATCCCCCGTATGCGTCCTAATATGCTGCTGTAGATGACTTAGCTGCGTGAATTTCCTCTGGCAGATCTCGCATCGGTACGGTTTGATGCCAAGGTGTATCCTGGTGTGCTGTGACAAGTAGGAACTGTTCGCGAACGCCTTGCAACACTGCGAGCATTTGTACGGTTTCGCTTCTCGCATGTGCGCCTGCGTGTGCAGCTGCAGCTCAGCCTTTGATCCGAACACCTGCAACAAAACATATACATTAATACACGCACAAAATCCTGTATTTGATCGTGAGGTCCCCTGTGAGGTCTTAAGTCACCTGATTCACGAGCCCGTTGTACTACATTAACAAAGGCACGAGGGGTTGGTTGCACTCGATTGGGAAACCGATCCGCATAAACATGTGCCATTTTTTTATTTCGTTTGAGCCACGCAACAGACACTATTCACACGCGTTACTGACTGTATGTATAACTGAACTGAATAAAATAATTGTAAAAACATCGTTCCAAATTCTTTCGCTTTTTTGTTTCCGATGCGATGAACCGATGAGACGGATTATATCCGTTGTCGCCAAACACGAGCACATGATATTATTATTGAGACAGGGCGGTACTCAAACTTCCAAAGGGCTATAACTTTGTTACTTTAATTTTACCAGAAAAATGGTAAAGGAAAAAAACATTTCTTTTGATCAGATCTACTCACTGTTAAAATAAATGACTCAACTTCGAAGTCACCCTGTATAACGCCACTCATCAAGATCTAATAATGAATCAATCGCAGAGAATCTTTGACAATTGCTATGCATCGTAAGTCCTGAAGAATGATCTGCAGCTGAAGAGCTAGATAAATCCCAGAGTATTTAGCATCGCATCACACTATCTTAGAAAAAAAGAACACAGTGGGATAAAAGGTCGTTTCGTTTAAAAATACATCAAGCAACCGCGCAAATCTTAATTATGAATCACGACCTAATAGAGGAAGGCAACCACCGCGTTCTGCCCTCTGTCGACGACGTCATCGTCGAGAGGTGAGCGTGTTTCGCGATCTGCGAGATACGACGCGGCAGGCTCGGCCGTCGATTAAACAAAGACCTCAACAGGTGACCTTCTGAAATTTCAATAGCGCAGGGTCATGTTCAATGCTGCCTGCGAACTGCTCCTTCCTGCTTGTTTTTGCTTGCCTACCATTCGTACATTAACAACAGACGCCTACTCTTGAGAATAGGTGCCGTGTGTATTCTAATTCGGCTTATGCACCGATTACACCCATGGGACCTGGACGTTTTACGAATAAATCCTGTGACACATCAAATAGAGCCCTTGCTTCGCGAACTGATGGTGGGCCGAGCAGTGCAAAACAACGGATTTTGGCTGGGGTACTATTGTCGGTCATGTTGAATGAAAAGACATTGAAAAAGAAGAAAAATGAGCGCGAGAATACCCACCACTATAAAATGTTGTCATGTACCTGCAGATCATCGAAATGTTTCCTTGTAGCCAGCGGTTTTACAGAAATTTGCTTAGTTAAATGCCAAATCTATATATGCAGAATTAAAAAACCCCGAATCTTTGTTTGTTTGGACAAAATCCGTAAAGACGTCCTCACCTTACAAAGAAATGTAGTCCCAGCTTTAACTGGGTATGTAATCTTTCGTTTACAGGTCGTATGCGGAAATCACAGGAGAACGAAGGACGAATTGAACAGCAACACGCCTTTCGTTTGCAATTTGCGTTATGTAATTTGTACTGAGAAGAATAATTTGTTTAGTACAGTAGCAGTCAAACATCTATTATATTTTCGACAAATCTTATCCAAAATTCGCACCTGTGGTGAGTAGGGCAACTCTTGGCGCTAACTGACTGAAAAGGTTGTTATGTTGGGTCGCACTTGTCGATTGCATCCTGCAGTTGGTACCTTGGTTTTTAGTACCAAAGGTGTTTGGGTTCAGTACCATAATATACTAAGTGACATATAAATCCGAACACCCAGTTTAAATGGTTTTATTTTAATAAAATTTTGTATAAGTACTTAATGAAGCATAATAAGTACATGATAAAAATTTCATAATGATTGCACTGCTTTAAAGCCCTTTGACCTTTAATAATGTGTGGATGCACCCTGATGTGCTACGCATTCTCCAACGCGCCTAGGCATGCTTCTGATCAGGTGGTCAATGTCCTCCTGTGGTATCTCATTCCAGGCAACCACCAACTCCTCTCGAAGTGCTTCTAGAGTCTGAGGAGGACGTTGCAAATTGAGCAATCTCCTACCCATCATATCCCACACGTGCTCAATTGGGGATAAGTCGGGAGATCTTGGTGGCCATGGTATCAATGTGACATCATTATGTTGAAAGAAGTCTATTGTGACTCTTGCAAAAATTGTCTGGTTTCTGGGTTACCAGACCTGACAGACTTACAAACTGACACTGTGACTCAAGAGCTAAGGTCCCACGGACCGCTCTGACAACCAACGATGACTTGACTTGACTTGACTCTTGCAACATGTGTTCGGGCATTATCTTGTTGGAAAGTTGGATCTGCCAGGGTGTCAAGATAGGGTAAAAGATGGGGTTCTAGAACTTCGTGGATATAACGCTGCGCGTTCATGTTACCTCTGATGAAGATTAAAGGTGACCTGGAACCATAAGCTATAGCACCCCAAACCATAACTCCAACAGTGTGATGAACATGTCTTTCAACAAAAAACTGTGGATTCCTCTTTTCACCACGTCGCCTTCTAACCCTGGCACGACCATCGTGCATGCCTGAACAAAATCGAGACTCGTCACTAAAGACAGTACTGGTCCATTCCTGATCCCAGAGTGACCGTTGTCTGCACCACTCAAGGCGATTACGTCGGTGTTCTCGAGTTAAAGGGAGGACCCAGTGTGGCCGGTATGAAAACAAGCCAAAACTTCTCATTCGTCGGTAAACACTTCGCATGCCAACAGGTCTTCCGTGTTCTGCAAACCATTCATTTGCAATGGACCTGGTAGTGGAGAAACGGTCCCTTAAGGCCAATAATCTTAGGCGGCGATCTTCACGGTCTGTTGTTCTACGGCGGCGTCCAGTGCCCCTTGCTCTTTGCGTACGACTTTCTCGAAGTCATGCCTGACAACACCTAACCACAGTGTCTACACTTCTTTGCACTCCAACTGCAATTGCCCGAAAAGAAAGTCCAGCTTCCCGAAGTCCCACTATACGGCCCCTATCAAACTCACTAAGTTGACGAAATCGTACAGGTCTCCGTACTCTAGGCATCGTAACCGATCCTAAAGGATGTCAAGCTACCAAAATCCGCCAACGTTGATTCTTTACTGCGGCTGAAATATTCATTTTTAGAGCGTTAGTGAATTAAAAAAAATCAGTATAAAAACCGGAATGTCCAACTGATACGGCTGAAAATTTTTTCACTTGTTATTTACAGTAAGATAAATACATTCACCAACTTTTTTAAAATAAAACCATTTAAACTGGGTGTTCGGATTTATATGTCACATATAGTTGCCGCTCAGCCCCCAGTTTCATGTTTTGTGCAGAGTCCCATTTTAATAAATAAATAAATAATTGATTTTATTCCAAGATACTTTAATGAAGCATAGGAAAAGTCAACAGATATTAGTCAGAGTCCCATTCGAATAAATAAATAATTGGTTTTGTTCCAAGAGACCTTGATGAAGCATAGGAAAAGTCAACAAGACACAAATATTAAAAACATCATAAAAACACTTCAAACAAACGCATTATTAATATCATTATAAAAAACACATTTAAAAAGGAAGCAAACACATTATTGATGTAGAAATTCATTGATGTTGTATAAGTTTTATCGACAAAAAAATCCACAACTTTGCAAACTTACCAAAGTTGTCAACATCTCTAATGCTTTTGCTTAATTTGTTATATGATTTTATTGCCATATAATGGCCGTATAAATTTCAATTACATTTGGGATCAATAAATGCATGTTTATTTCTTGCTCCATAATCATGTAGATATCAGGGTACTTAATAAAATTCCGGGTATTACTTCCTGCATGAAAAATTGAATCGGAAAGATCAGAAATTAACCATTTATTTATGTTATCTCTAGTATCGCAATCCATATTTGTAAAGTTTCTATTCGAGGATTGAGTAACTGACTAGATCAAAGACCTTACTTAAATCAGGACTACTCAGTTCTTGGTTCATAGTAATTCTTTATACTATACCTCTGACCTCCCTATTGGGTTGTCGTGTAGCTGTTCTTTATGTCGAAGATAACATGCACATCGTACATTGGGAACTTAAATTTTGTGTAGGCGCGCTTTGAATAACTAGTGGCCGATCAAATACTATCCACCTTCCGTAGCTCTTTCCTACTCAATCTAAGTGCTTCTTTTTTTTTATAATCCAACTACCACGAAGGCCTAAGGCCTAAACACCCATTGGGTATCGTATCGTGGGGCTATTTTTTTTTTTTTTGGCTTTAGGACTAAGCCATGCAGCCAGAAACTAGGTTGTATATAGAATATATCTAATTATGTACAAACACACGACGTCACAACATCCATGGCGAAGGCGAGATTCGAACTTGCGACCCGGCCGGCCGGCTGATCAGTAGCACGACACTCTGACCCACGCGGTCAACCGCGGTCCCATCGTGGAGCTATAGGGGAATACAGGGGAAAGGGGAAACGCTACACGGACTCTGGTGAGGGAACACGTGTGCATGCAACACGCACACTTTCTGGCTCCGCCGGGTGGTACCTCCGCGTTCGACAGTCAGAGACCGTCTACCACCTACGGACAACCACAACCAGCCAAGAGAAAAATTTCTCTTGGAACGGGATTCGAACCCGCACAGCGCACGGCGACTGATCAGGAGACCGAAGAGTCTACTACTGCGGCCACCGCTGCTACTGTTTTTGGGTGCCTATTTGATGTCCATGGGAAGGCAGTGACTCTTGCAGTGATACAAATATTTTGAAGTATTTGTTCATCATATTTCTCTTTGTGGTAGGAATCAAAGCTTTTAACTTCAATAAAGCGCATTTGAAGGAAGCATAAAATTCATTGCAAATTATCTGGAGAAAAAAGAAAGCAGAGACGATCTTAGAAGAAATGTAAGTTAATTATAATAAACAAATAGGAGACACGGTAAGAACAACCGTCCTGTCTGAAACAAAAGTAGCAGAAATGCAATATATTCATGGGGCATTCGTAGCGGTACACCGATTTTGCACACTTCTTA